ATCATCATCATCATCATCATCATCATCATCATCATCATCATCATCATCATCATATTTTTGCCCCCACCTACACAAGGGCCCCAACGTGGAGTCTGGTGGGCTCTATGCAGCCCAGGGATGCACATTTTAATTCCTGAATTAAATATTTTTTTTCTCCTCTTCTAGACAGAGCCACCACAACATGACTTATAATTAAGCAATACCAAGGAAAACAGTGTAAAGTGAAACACTGAAAATACTAAACCTAAGCCTTAGAAATACCCTATTTTAGAGCAGGAAAAACAAAAGGCAAGCCGCACACTATTTTTCCCATTTCTTGCTGGCTAAAGCTGCCAAGATTTCTGGTCCGGATTCTGCATTCCTGAAGCATCAGAGGCAACTGAGGCTGAATTTCAGTTGCTGAGGGAGAAGTTACTGAATCCAGGTCCTCTTTGAGGGCTTCCCTTTAGCATCTGGTTGGCTACTGTGGGAATCAAATGCTGAACCTGATAGGGCTTTGATTTGATCCAGTACACTTCTTATATGTTTTAAGCATCTTAAATAGGTGGCACATGAAGGCTCTTAAATGCTTCATAATACTTAGAATTAGGATGAAAACTTAGTCTCCTATTTTTATTTTTTTTCTGACTGAATGGGCTGCATATTCATTATGTTATACTGCTAGATTTGAACTTTGGAGGGTGGTTTTCCCCCCATCAGGGAGATGAGTACTGTTCAGTGTCAGAAAAGACCCGTTATTTGGTTAGTTTCTGTAGGCACATTCTTGCAGCTGGGCTAAAAGGTCTCTCCACTATAACCTAATTTTGGACCAGATTGGCCCTCTTCCTACAGCATGGTCAATCCGGTCAGCCACTAATGCAGAGAAATCCATTTTTACCAGTGTCTCTGGCAACATGCAGTCATGCTACCCATTGTCATTTTTGGAACGGAGGCCCCATTCACTTTCTTTTGGAAGCCTAGTATCCCAGGAGGCTGTTCTTCATTGTATCACTAGTCTCCCATTGGGCAAGTGAACAAAGCTAAGAGAGACTGGACTGCCTTAGTCAAACACTGTTTGAGAGATGTCTTCTGTGTTGCTAAGTTAGTTTTGTAATGGAGGAAATTTTTTCAGCCTTCCTCCCCTGCTTTTTTACTTAGAGGAGGTAAAAGAAATGGGTCAGATGATTGGGTTTAGATAGTCCTACTATATAACTGAAGGGGAAGAGCTAGTTTAACCCAATGCCTGACTGGGTAAAAGGACTTTCCCCCCATTTACCCAGAGTAGTGATTGCTCTTTTAGATCATTGCAAGACAAAGCAGTTATTTTTGTAACAAAATAGCGCATCTGGAAGTTATCAGGATCAAGAATAACCCAATTTCCTTACCTTTAATCCCTTCAGTTCCCCCCTGCCTTCCCCCTCTCCCCATCAAGGAAGCCCTCACCCAGTTTTGGTATGAAAAACTCATGCCTGGGATCTCTGATTTGGCAGCCTGGATCCTCTTTGTTTACATGACAAAGTATAACAGCAAATGTCATGAATAAAGACACATGTTTCTAGGCTTGTCTGTTGCCAGCCTTGATGACACCACCCACAGCCTGGCAGGATTCCCCCTGCCTGCCAAGCAGATGGTTGTTGCTAAAAAGTGAGGATTTATTGCATTCTGCTGTATTCCTCTGAAAGATCTTATAGTTTCCAGCCAGCTTGTTGTTGATGTTGTTGCATCTGCCAAAGGGAACAGCCTTCAGGGACTGAAAGGGGTGGGAGGAATCCTGCTTTTTACTAAATCTACCCCCCCCCCTTTGGGAGTTGTTCTAGATTGGAAGCCAGACTCTAAAACTCTATCACTCCACTGTCACTTATTGTTGGGAATGAAAATCTAAGGAAGGAAACAATTAGTAGTAGTAGTAGTATGAATTTTAGTATTATTTATTGTGGCTACCTCCAGCTTTGTAGATTCATTTTGCCTTTAGAGAAGAGCTGATTGTATAACTTCCAGGATGGTCCTACAGCCTTGGAACTCAGTTGCCTAGACAACGGGGAATATTCATTCTCGACAGTAGCTTTGTTTTGGAACCAAACAAGCGTCCTTGTGTTGCCTTAGCAACTGGGCATAGCTCATTCTCTTCCGGCATTCATGAGCCCTGAAATTGCAAGTAATGTGAAGACACGTGCTATCTTCTTTTGCTGGTCAGGTTATAGAATAGCAAGAGAAGATCTCTCTCCTTCTGCTTCCAAGATCAGGGAAAGATCAGGTCATTTCGGATTATTGTAGCCGTCTTAGACAGCATAGGCAATCGTGATGGATGTGGGGAGTTACAGTGCAGGAACCTCTGGAGGGTCACAAGTATGAAGTGAACTTCTTTGCAGGATGGAGGGAATGGGGGTATTGTGTTTGTATTATGTAAAGAAACAGCAAAGGCTGTTCTGACATGGCCAGAAATAATTCAGAAGTGAAAGACAAACCAGGTAGCATGATAAAGAAGCAAGACAGAAGTTGGTCCCAAAGAATAACAAAGAACGTAAGGAACTCACCAGAGGTTTTTAATACATTATAATTGTTAACTGATAAGGTATTTGCAATTTGCCTCACATATAACCTGCGTCTGCATAACTGACCTATCTTTCCATTCTTTTCCTCCACCCTAATTTCAATCCTACATCAGTTTAGCTACGGTATTCATCTCTTGAGCTTCATTAAAAGCTTCTGCCTCTTAATAAAATGTGTTAGTCAGGAAAGGTCCTACCAGACTCCTGTTTTTTTGCCAACATAAACTAACATGGCTGTTCTCCTACAGCATGTTGCTCAGAAAGGCTCAGCAACGTGAAGACTCCTTAAGCTCTTTTCTTCCCTGAAGTATCCAATTGCCTCCCTACGCCCTTCTACCACTGGGTTAATTGCACCATTTTGTTGCTAAACCAGCCTCTTCTATATCTGCCTCTTCACAAATGCAAATTAGGAAACTCCACTAGTGCAATAGGATTGCCTGCCCCTGTGCTAAAGGATTGTAAGAGTTGAAGTCCAATTTATCTGGGACTCAGAGATTAATAAAGGCTTTTATACATTTTTATGGCCATAAGTCTCCTTGAATTCAGTAGGCATTTACTACTGAGTTGACAGGCACAAGATTCCATTGTTACTATTCTAATGTTTCAGCAAAAACTGTAACATTCTTCTTTCATTTATTTTTAGTTTTATAAATATACATTTTAGTATAACTGTCACTCTTGGAAGGATTAGTTCTAAAAGCCTGCAAAAGTTGAGGTAAATAAATATGGAAGGTTTCTACAGAGTTTCTATAAATTTGTCAGTACTTACTTTTTTCTGACCTCATTTGAATATATCTAATAATTTGAATAAAATCTATCGTTTGCTTCTTCATACATCATCATTGTTAATTATGACAGCATACTGGCCAGAGGTCCCCAATCACTCAAGAAGGTGACAAAATTGCCTCTTTATCCCTTGGACCAGCCTTCCTTAGCCTGTTGATATGTGAGACTACAGGTCCCACCATCTCAGACTAACTCACATTTGCCTAATGTCTAATAAGTACAACGTGTCTCCTCAATTGCCCATACTGGCTGGAGATTAGGAGAACCATAATCCAACTCATTTAAAGGTAACCCTTTATGAAGGAATGGTAAGAATTCTAGTCCAGAATGTGGAGAACACCAGCTTGGAGAAAATTGGTTTAAGCTAGCTGATTCCTATGGAGAGTTTTAGATTGGTTTGATCTCCTTGGGGAGATATGCAACTGAACTCCAGGCCAGAGGGGTGACTGTTGTCTCATATTTGACTGGTTTCTGACAGCATGAGGTTTATATAAAGTTCTCTTTCGTAATGTTGAAGGAGCTGATCGTTTTTATGACAATATTGAGGATATGATTGGCTACCTACCCTGGCCTCTGATTAAATACTGCTGGCTCTATCTCACACCTGGTATTTGTCTGGTAAGTACATTCACTAGGTCTTACACTTGCATTGCTGTGGGAGTGAGGGGTGGGGGGAAGAAAAGGTCCTTCTTTACTCTCCCTTTCCTGAAGTACAGAATTATTACTATTGCTATTCATTGTTGTGTAATTCTTTCTATTAGCATTGTTTGCTGTACTGATTCTTGCTAGCTATTTTTAATTTATTTTAAATATTAAGTTTTTACAAGTCATGAGCTGCTCAAGCTGCTCAATTAGATGCTAAAGGTAGGAACCTACAGAAAGAGAGAGAGAGTCACAGACATGCAGACATATGCAGTCTAATACTTACATCAATAAATGGCACAGCATCAGATGAAGGAGTAGATGGATGAAATATCATCAGGACATGATCCTACTTAAATAAAAGGACTGTAATTAGAGTGAGGAGTTCCAGAATACTGGCAGTGCAGTGCAAAATTTTTATTCTACAACATCATGACTGGGGGGCCATTAATAATGACAGGATGTTTAGAATGACCTCTTTTGATTATCTGACTGAATGACAGGTTCATCTTTGAGGAAGAGGCCCTTCAGGCTTCCGGGATCTAAGCCACATAGCAGTATTGGGGCACACAGACTGTCCCAAGGGTCAGATTCTGCTTATATCCAAAGGCAATATAATGAGAATACAGATGGAAAAGTGGAGAAAATTGTTGCAAGCAATTAAAGAGAAAACTTCCTCTGCCTTCTGGCAGTTGATTGTCAGTTCAACATCACAAACCATTGTCCGGGCACAAAGCACAATACCTCTGTTAAATTGCCTATTCAATCGGTTGAATATTTTAGCAATCTTTTTAGGGCATAAAGTCCCTTCTTGACTGGCCTCCAGTTTCAACCTTGGAAACTTCCGAACTCATATCCCGTCTAAAAATGAAAAAGCAGATCAGGAGATCTGACTCTGGCAGAACTAATAAAAGCTAATGCAGAGTAGTGGCCCCTGTGTTGGCCTCCCTCTTTGTACATATTGATTGCTGTATTCAGATGCCCAAATATTGGTACTATTGCAGTCCCAATCTTTAAGAAAGGTAATACATCTAATCCTGCTAATTTCCATCTGATCAGTCTCTTAAATGTTTCTAGTAAACTCTATGCCAAACATCCATGTGAGAAACTCACTGATTGGCTAGAACAAGAACAAGTCTTGGCTGATGAACAAGCAGGTTTCAAGGGTTTCAGGGCAGAACAAGCAACTCTTGAATACTGTATTTTTGTAAACCATCTAGCAGAAAAACATTGCTCTTGATATCAAGGTTTCCTTGTTGCTGCCTTTGTAGATTTGAAGATTTGATCTCTAAGGGGAGATTGTGGTAGAAATTATTAAGAACATCTATGGATTTCTGTCTTTTTAGATTAGTTATGATGCTCCACAAGAATATGTACATGCATGTCAGTTGTACAGGGAGCAGAGTTGTTTCATGCCCAATTCTCATCATAAATGGAGTTAAACAAGGTTGTATTCTGGGCCCTTTTTTGTTTAATCTGTGATGATGTGGTCAACTTCTTGAGGATCCTGAAGGTGGTCATCATCAGAGTTTACAAGCTTTAGATGCTTATTGTGGGGAAGAAAAATTAGAAAGTAATTATAGTAAAATAAAAGTGGTTATATCCACAAAGCAATGCACTAAAGTCATCCATAAATGGAAAACTAATGGCAATTCGATTGAGAAAATTAAGACCTTTAAACACCTTAACATTTAACACCTTGGGAATTGTTTCAGTCTTTTAATACCTGGAAAGAGCAAGAAAAAACTATTTCTTCTCATGCAGGAAAAAGTCTGATGTAATAATTAGATTTGCCAGCCATCAGGGAAATAATTATGCTTCTACTGCAATCACACTTTATAGAGCCTAAGTGCTGAGCCTAATACTTGATGGCATGGAAATTGTACCATAAAGATATCAAAAAATTGGAGGTAATTCAATCCAAGTTCTTAAAAGCAGTGCTTCATGTCCCTCACTGCATTTCAACATCAGCTTGAGGCTGGAGCTAGGTTGTATATCAATAGAGGCCTGCATCAGTATTTGCCAGCTGATATATTTTCTAAAATTAATTTGGGGAAAAAGGTCTCTATTCCATCCAGTTAATTCTTGTCAACAAATTTGATTCCTCACGGACATACAACATAGCTTCAGACTTGACCTCTTGTGGATTCTTAGGTCAGTCTGAGAGAGCCTTACAAGTGATCAAGCTACATATCTGGATCTAGACTTACAGAAGGACAGGAGGAGAATTTCTCACCATTTTAACATTGACCTTTGGAACTTCTATCTATTCTTAAATATTTATACAAAATTCTCCCTGTCCCTCACAGTACAGCTTTAATTCTTGCCAGGCTTAATGACTAGCCATCAGGGGTTTTGAAAGGAAAATACAGCAACCTTCACTTTCAGAACTAAATCTGTCCCTGTGTAGAGAGCTGTCCAAGATACCATACATGGCACTCTGAATTAATATCATCACCCCAAGTGTACCATGGAAGAGAATATATATTTCTATTAACTGATAATTCCTTAGAAATTTCAGAAAAGGTAGCAAAATAATGTTCAATCATGACTGCTGTGAGGAAACTCTAGGTATAATTAAGTTCTGATAGACCATTCTATGTCACAAAACAATTAGCTATGTTTTTCTCTTTTAATTTTTTAGTTTATTACATGTTCTCTGTTTGATGTTTTACACAGAATTTGATCTATGACTGTAAGTAAATTTTTTAAAAAACAGACAATGAGAGCAGCCCTTTCAGGATAGAAGCCCCACCCTTTAGCCCAGATTCATTTATCTGGGTATTACTTTCTCTAATACAACAGTTGTTTCCAGTGATGGCTCCCAGCCTCTGCTTCTATTCTAGATCTCCACAGGTAAGAATTATGGAATAATCATCTCACCCTTCTTTTCCATGGAGAAAGTCATTCCATGCAGCATAGGGCTATGAAATTCAGCCCTCTGCTAGGGAATCCTGTCTCTTCAGGCCCATTCCATTTGGGAACAATGATGTTCTCTTGAATGGAGCATTTCTGAAATTACCATCCTTTAACTTGGATCAGCCACTGCAATAATTAGCAAGAAGCAGTTCTGTATTTTAAGAAATAGTATGTTGGAGAGTCCTGAGAGATTTCTCCTTCAGTCCTCTCAAGGCATTTTTGAAGCCAGAGTTCTGTTCTTAACAGAACTTATTGGGGGTAAGTGGCTTTGACTCAAGGAGCTGTTCTATCCTATTAGTCCCATATGGAACATTTATGAACGCAAAGCTGCTTCAGTGCAACCAAGCAGCGATCAGAGGTAAGGAGTACTGCTGCTCCAAGCAGGACAAGGTAGAAGCTATTGATGCCACCATTTCCAGGGCTTGTGTCAAGACCCCATCAGATCTGTGGACCGGAGATTCCCTGTACCATACAGGATCTGGATATTTAAATCAATTTTTTGTAAACCACTTAGATTCACTCAACTGAAGCAACATAAAAGCACTTGTAATTAATAGATGGCATAGCATAGCATAACCTAGGAAGGAAATGAAAACAAAGTGGTAGTACATGGTCTTTTGCCCTTGGGTGATCAATAAAGTCTTCACTGCTGCTTGCTAAGTTTCTGGTCCTAAATCTAGTCATTAATGTCAGGATTGGAAAGTTCTGCCTCCAACTTTGTCTTCACTTAATATTCAGCTTTTAGACACATGCTGGATATGATATATAGAATATATGGAAAGACAATCTAGGCTGAAGCCAGCAGACACTAGTAGATCCTAACAACCATCTCAATTTTTGCTGACATGATTGGAGTTCACTGTAGACTGTGTTTGCCCAAGGCTGGAAAAGGTCATGCTGAAAGACCTTGATTAAATGTGCTTTTTCTTCTCTTTAATTATCTCTTACACATGTTTCTAATTTACTGCTGCATACTGTCATGCTGTCTGTTCTTGTCATCCTCAGGCGACCTTCCTGTTTTCGCTCATTAGATACCAACCACTCAAATACAACGTCATATATGAATATCCTCCATGGGGGATCGCTGTGGGTTGGTTGTTGGCATTGTCCTCTATGATCTGCATACCAGCCCATATTATATTCATCCTCCTGAAAACCAAAGGATCTTTAAAAGAGGTAAAGGAAAGAAAAAAAAAAAGAACTTCTCTGAGGACATAGAACCGTGCATGGTTATTTTACATGACTAGCCATTCTTTCATAGGAGATACAATTGACAGGTTGTTTCAGGCAGTTTTGTATTACAGACACTCAAAAAGATGTATTCTATATGCTAGATTCATTGTTCTTCTATGATAACATAAGCCCTAAAGTAAGGCCACATAATGAAAGCATCTCATAATGGGAGAAAGTCAGATGCCTTCTGATACATGGAAGAACGAACTAACAAAAGCAAGGTTTGTTACCGGTAATTCTAGACGACTAAACCCTTAAGGCTTGCAAGACCTCTTTTTAAATGCTATTAGTGTATTTTAAACATATCCAGTTTGTCTGCATATCGTTCTGAATCCTTATTGCCATCATATTGATCAAATCAAATATGAGAAGATACATGCAAATAATCAAAGACGGGAGAGAAATAATCCTAAAGTCCTTAAGAAATGTTTCATGCCTCAATCCTTTTTCAAGGTGACAAAAGACACTTTTCATTTCTTCTAGCTATACACATTTTTTGTTTTCTAACTACAAACCTAACACAGTGCAACTGATGACAAATCAGAATCAGTCACTGCCAACTATAAATTGTTACATTGTCTAATTGACAATCATAGTTGTAGTTGTTGCCCTACCTCAGAAGACCGAGGCACTGAGCAAATGGGATCTAAACCAAGAGGTGCCTGTAAAGTTCAAAACTTGCTTTGGGTTATAACTATGGTTAATACAGTTTGTTACAATAACTACAGGTAATCATTGCCTGAATTCACAAATCACACTGAGCCGTTATGTGAATTGTTTGCTTTTAGCATTACCCATAACCCCGCTTATTACAGTTTAATTTTATGTGTTCAACAACAAACAATTCAAAAAGTCCTGGATTTATGTTTCAACCAACCATGATTAAAACAAGCCATGGCAGAAGGCAATGTGTAAACTCAGCCATTTCCTATCATTGATAGATGATTCTTCACTAATATATGTAGATTATGGGATGACAATATTTTAGGACAATAGAACTCAATTTTATAGGCATACTTTTATGGATATGAATATATATATCTTAGTAAAATAATTTGAATTGTAATGACGAAAGGCTGGGAAATCTCACCCTAGCCCCGAAGAGAATGAACCTTGCATCAGGGCCATTCCCAGGGCTCTGACCTCTAGAAAGGCAATGTCATGTCCACAGGGCTTTATTTACCGATTAGGGAGTGTAACATAAGAAATGACATTAGAC